CTACCTGCCAGCCGTCTCGCCTGTCTACTTCGTCACCTTCGTGCTGGTGGCCCAGTTCGTGCTGGTGAACGTGGTGGTGGCCGTGCTCATGAAGCACCTGGAAGAAAGCAACAAGGAGGCCCGCGAGGACGCTGAGCTGGACGCCGAGCTCGAACTGGAGATGGCGCAGGGGCCCCCCGCCTGGCCCACGCCCGCGGCCCAGCAGAGCCAGGGCACCGGGCCGGACGCTCCTAGCCTCCTGGTTGTACGTAAGGTGTCCGTGTCCCGGATGCTCTCGCTGCCCAACGACAGCTACATGTTCCGGCCCGTGGCGCCGGCCTCAGCCCCTCACCCCCACCGGCTGCAGGAGGTGGAGATGGAGACCTACGCAGGCACCGCCCCCTCGGGTATGGCCCCTCACAGTGGTAGGAGGAGGACAAGGGCCAGGCGGGGAGGGAGGACGGGGCCAGGCAGTGGCTGCGTGGTTCAGACGCCTTCCTGCCCCAGGCCCGGTCACTTCCGCGCACTCGCCGCCCGTGGAGTCCTGTGCCTCCCTCCAGGTCCTCTCGGCCGCGTCCTCCCCAGCCAGGGGCAGCGACACACTCCTTGCCCTGCCTCCTCGGGGCGCCGCCCGCTCGCCTAGCCTCAGCCGGCTGCTCTGCAGACAGGTAGGAGGAGCTCCCCTGGTCCTAAAGCAGAGGCCTGGGGGCTCCATGGGGGTACTTTCTCCGTATTTGAAGGCTGAACAACAGGGACGCTGGGGAAGGGGGACACACTGTGTCCCTGCAACCTGTGACAACAGAGCATCCTGCTACAGGGATCCGAGCTGCGTCCTCGGGCAGCAGTCTCAGTTTCCCCACGTACACTCCACCCTGCCTGCAGCCACGGCTCCTCTCCTGCCCCCGTCCTCAGGGTGCCCAGCTGGGCGGGTGGCGCACAACATGGGGCAGTGGTCTCACTCCAGCTGTGGCCTCCGGGGTCTCCTGCGTCCACTGCAGGCTCTGCCCACAGAAGCTCAGGCCCCAGCCCTCCACTCCTCACAGCTTTTCCCCAACACGACCAGCACTGGCAGGGTGGCACCTGCCCTTGGGGTGGTCCCCAGGGTGGCGTGGGTGGGGCTAGACACAGTGGCAGCGGTACCAGGGCTCCCATCCCCAGCTCTCCCTGGGTCCCTAGTCTTGGAGGCGTCAAGAGCCCACCCTGGCCATGGGGTAGGGAGGGGTCCCTGCACCCCTGGCTTGGCTGTGCCTGGTCTCACCCGAGCCCATGCCTTTCCAGGAGGCCATGCGCACTGACTCCTTGGAAGGGCAGGTCGACGGCCCTGGGGACAGTGGCCCCACCTGGGGAGAGTCTGGCAGGAAGACCCCTGCAAGGCAGACATCCCTGGGGGCCTCCTTGAGGACCCCACCCCGTTCCCCACGGCCCCCCAGCATCCGCACCCGCAAGCACACTTTTGGACAGCGCTGCATCTCCAGCCAGCCGCTGGCCGCCAATGGGGAGGAAGCCGAGGCCCCAGACCCGGCCGATGAGGAGGTCAGCCACATCACCAGCTCGGCCCGCAGCCCCTCGGCGTCGCATTCGGCTTCTCCTGCTGCTCATGGAGTGGCGGGCGGTGAGCCGGACCCGCACAGGTTCTGCGGTATCAACACCCAGGGCTTCCTGGACCAGCCGGGCCGGGCGGACGAGCAGAGGCGGCCCTTGGGGGAGCAGGGTGGCGGGGACAGCTGCCCGGAGGCTGGGGAGGTGAAGTCTCGAGGCCCGGAGGCCGAGCTGGCCCTGGGAGCACGCCGGAAGAAGAAGATGAGCCCCCCCTGCATCTCTGTGGAGCCACCCACGGAGGACGAGGGCACGGCCCGGCCCCCCGCGGCCGAGGGCGGCAGCACCACCCTGCGGCGGAGGACGCCATCCTGTGAGGCCGCACCCCACAGGGACTGCCTGGAGCCCGCGGAGGGGGCGGGGGGGGACCCTGCCGCCAGAGGGGAGCGGTGGGGCCAGGCCTGCCGCACAGAGCACCTGACTGTCCCCAACTTCGCCTTCGAGCCGCTGAGCATTGGGGGCCCCGGCGGGGACCTGTTCTTGGATGGTGGTCACGGTGTGGCCTCAGAACCGAGAGCTTCCTCCTCAGGGGCCACGGAACCCCCCAAACCCCACGAAACAGAGCCTCACGTGCCCTCTGGTGACCCCCCAGAGAGGGGGCAGGGACTGCACCTTGAAGTCCCCCAGAACCCCTTAAAGAAAGCAGGGTCACCCCCGGCCATCCCCGGCCCTCATGACAGTGTAGATGAGCCCGTGTAGCTCAGGGCACAAGGCCACACCGGCTTTGGCACTGGGGTTGGGTGCACCCAGCGGGGTGGTGGCCCCTGAGTGGGGCTGTGCGTGGACCCTGGCTCAGGCCCCACCGCGGAGAGCAGAGGAACCCGGGCGGATGTTATTGGGGGAGAGGGAGGCAAATGCTGGTACTGGGCAAAGCAGAGGGGGGCCCCTCAGCCGCGAGCCTCCGTCCTGTCGAGTCAGGTATGGGTTTCTTCGAGTCATGCTGCACTGGTCTGAGGCCATGCCAGTGGTTTGGTCACAGTCCCATAACGAGAGAGCTGTGTCCATGGGACAAGGGCCAGAAAGTGACCAAAAGGAGGAAGGCAGAGGCGCCCAGCAGAGCCCCATCCTCACGACCACTTAATTGTATAGGGAACACGCGCTTGGGGCCATTTGTGCCCTCACAGGTGGCAGCTCAGTCCCCGAGGCCACCGTGGTTATGCTTCACCGTCACTCACAGTCCGAGTTCTTGTCCGTGTGTCTCCACCCTCACGGCTGTCTCTCCATCTCCCCTCCCGCGCCCACCCTCTCCATTCTGTCCACTTGGTGTTCGGGAAAATGCCTGCAGGCTCCGGTCTCCAGGAAACAGCCGGGCTCCAGGGCGTGGCACCCACGCAATAAGACCCCCAGCCCGCCTCCGACAGGCGTCTCTGGGGCCCAGGCTGAGAGGTCTCAGCTGATCCCCCTCATTTTGTTTCATTTCTTTTATAAATTCAGGTTAAACGTTGCAATAATTTGATTCAGAAAATTTGGCTTCTCAAGTCAAGGGGAGGGGAAGGGGGGGGCAAAACAATAAATATTAACTTATTTAAGAAACACGTTGGATTACCACTGTCAGGAGGTGTCCATCCGCGTGGGAGGGTGGCGAGCCAGTGCCTGGCCAGGGCAGAGCTGTGTGAGGCCATCCACGCCTGGCTCCAGCACTGGCCCCCACCGGCAGGGTTGGGGTCTCCACAGAGCCTTGGCCTGTCCCCTTCTGCCTCTGCAGTCCCCACTTCAGCAGGTCCACGCATAGAAAGCTCTTCTCCAGCGGGAGCACTGAGCTCACGAGAGCAGCCAGACCACGTGGCACCATTCACACTGGAGAAACTGAGTCTTGCTCCACGTAGGAGGAAGTTTCTGCCGGGGCTCCCATGGGGCTGGGAGCTGTGTGCGCAGAGGTGGGGGGGTCCCCCGCGGGGAGAGCTTCCCAGCTGAGTGGTCAGCCTAGGGCTGCAGAGGGTGCCCCACTCTCAGTCATCTCCCCACCCCAAATGCCCGACCCTTGACCCCAGCCCACATCCTGCTTGCTTATCAGGGCGCAGGGCTGGTCCACAGCCCCACCACGTGCTCCCTCCCTGTGGCAGTGGGCGCAGAACGGGCGGAGCAGGAGAGAACTTGGGATCCCTCGAGGGTTCTGTGGATGACAGCTGTGACACACTGGGGGCTGAGCCCAGTGCAGAGCAGGCTGCAGGGTGGGCTCCAGGTCCTCTCCACGCAGCCAAGCAGGAGCCCACTGTGGCTGGATAGCAGGCCTCCTGGCCTGCCCACAGCCGCTCCAGGGTGGTGTGCGTGGTGGGAGGCACTGTGGGGGGGCTCCATCTGGTTGAGACGGGCCTGTTGGCTCTCATGTGGGCAGTGAGTCCCCATCCAGGGTCCAGGGCTGCAGTAAGATCCCAGCTCTGTGACCCTGACCCCGTGGGCAGGTAAAAGGTGGGCAGGCAGCCAGCCCCTGCCCCCCTACCCGCCTGCCCAGCCCCTCTCTGCAGGTGTGGAGAGCGGTGCCAGGGCTCCCTCTGGTGGACATGTAGGGGAACTTCAGGACTCCAAGGAGTGGGCCACGCCCTGCTTGGGTGGGCGTGGGGGGCACATGGCGTGGATGCCCAGTGCTGTGGTCTACAGACCTTCCTGCATGCTACTTTGGCAGATGATTGCATCCCCCAGCCTCCGTTTTCCCACAGGGAGAAGACACGGAGCAGGGCTGTTGCAGGGCTCTTCTTCCAGGCCCAGCATGTGCCCTGCCGGGGCAAGAGGGGGCGGGTCATGGGTCAAGGGTTGGAGATGAAGGAGGGAGAGCTGACCTAGGCTCCGTGCAGAGGTAGGAACGCAGGTCTAGACCGGGGGCCGGTCTGGGCGGCTGCAGCCCTCACCACAGCTCACCATGCTGGCCTGCAGCCAGGTAGTGGACACAGCAAATCACCAGCAACTTAGTGGTTTAAAGCAACCCAGGTTTATCATCTGATGGTCGTGGAGGTCGGGTGTCTGGCTTGGGTCTCGTGGCATCAAAGTGGAAACGGTGGCGTGTCTTCCGGAGGCTCCAGGGAGAAGCTTCTCCGCGCTGTTGGCAGAATTCAGTTCCTGTGGCTGGAGGACTGGGTGCCATTTGTGTTGCTGGCTATAAATTGAGAGCCTTCCCTGCTTCTGGAGGTCACCGCATTGCTCTGCCCATGGCCCCTTCCCCGTTTTCAAAGCCAGTAACAGTGGGTCGGGTGCAGCTCTCGTCGCATCTGTGACCTCCTGCGTGGACTCTACCACTGTAAGCACCCTTTGATGACACGGGATCCCTGATACCCAGATGAGTTCCCACCTCGAGCTCCTGAGCCTTAATCCCACATGCAGAGTCCTTGCCCTGTAGGAGAACGTGGTCACAGGTTCTGGGGATTAAGACATGGACACTTTTCTTGGGGGCACATTGTTCTGCTGATTGCAGGAGGTTGTGCAGATCAGGGTCAAGGGTCAGAGGCCAGAAGGGAGGGAGAGCCAACCCAAGCCCTATGGAGAGAGCATTTGGCCACCAGGACACAGGAGATGAGGAGGAGGAGGAGGCCGGGGAGGAAGAAGCTGGCAAGGAAAAGGAGAGGGGGCCCCGTGAGCCCAGGACCCGAGCCCCCCGAGGCCAGGACGTGGCGGCGGATCCAGTTCACATAGGCAGGGACGCGGGTGTAGACCCCAGGCCGGTCAGGGCGGCCGCAGCCCTCGCCCCAGCTCACCACGCCGACTTGCAGCCAGGTCCCGTCCACCTGGCAGACCAGAGGCCCTCCGGAGTCGTCCTGGGGGCAGAGTGGGGTGAGGACCAGGCTGCCAGGCCTGCAGCTCCTCACTTCCCTCTGCCGTGTAGCCCCAGCCCGTCACCCAGCACGGTGTTCCCGGGCGGCAGCCTCCACCTGCCCCGCTGGGCTCACCTGGCAGGCATCGCCGGGGCCCTGGGCACACAGCATGTCCGGCTGGATAGAGCTGCTGCCTGTGCCGGTGTAGTCCTGGGTGCAGGTCTCAATGTCCACAATGGAGACTTCCGCCTCTTGTAGGCTGTACGGGGGCTGCAGTGGCTCTGGGGGTTGGAAGGGGAGGACCATCCCTCAGTGTGAGGGTCCTCCAGATGCAGACCTGCACATGGTGACCCCAGGCACTGACACACGGTGTGGCTCACACCCTGAGACCTTGATGTGAATCAGCGTAGCACAGACTTTGGAACGGGGGCTACAGGGGCAGCCTCGGCTGGCTGTCACCATCCCTCCTGGCTCCTCCCTGGGCCTGCCCCACCTGCCTCCATCCCCACGGGGGCTTTGGGGGCTCCTCACTTCCCTCTGCCGTGTAGCCCCAGCCCGTCACCCAGCACGGTGTTCCCGGGCGGAAGTTAGCTGAGGCCTCGGGGAGGCAGACGGGAAGGACCCGGCTGGAGAGCGTCACGGGGGTGCTCAGCTGCAGCAGGGCGATGTCCCCACTGGACCCCGGTGCTCCCGGGTGGCCGGAGAACAGGATGATCTGCCTCACGGTGGAGAAATCGGGGGACAGGGTGATGGTCAGCTGTCCCAGGTGGACCTGGTAGTCGGATGAGTTCAGGGACCTGGGAGGGTAGGGTGGGTAGGCATGAGAGGGCCGGCCAGAGGCGAGAGGTCAGCGCCCAGCCCACCCAGACCCCACGCCTGCCCGGGTCCGAGGTCCACAGCCTCCCTCTTCTGCTTATATGGAAGCAGCTGCTCTGACATCTGGCCAGATCCTGGGAGCTGGCAGCGGCCCCACCCTCCAGGCCCCAGAGATTAAATCAGCATCCTGGGGGGCGGAAATGCCAGGTCCCGTCCCCAGGCTGGAGGATGTTGGAGGACGCTGGCGGCCAGTGATGCTCCTAAGACCCACAGGGGCTGCTCCACGGGAAGAAGAAACAGGCAGTGAGGAGAGAGGGAGGGAAGGAGCCGCCGGCATCCGGAGGCGTGCAAAGACACGCGGAAGCAGCGTCACACTGGTCTGGCTTTGGAAACTCCTGAGGCTGTCAGTACCAGAGTCTGGCAGCTGGGGGTGCCCTCTGAACCCTGGGGCTGCATGTGGCAGGTGGTATTGTGGTTCCTCCCTTTTTACTGAGGGGGAAACTGAGGCCCAGAGAGGTCACGAGTGAGTCAAGCTAGCGGAGGCCTCTGTGCTGCCTGCCCCACCCCATGCAGGCCCGGGCCTCCAGGCTGCCTCCACTCACTCGGGACACTCACCCCGAGAAGCAGTGGGCTGCTGTGAGCACCCACTGAGGGCTGAGAAGAGCTCCTCCACACACGTGCACCTTCCGCAGCCGGAGGCTGGCCTGCCAGGGCCATGCACCGGCCTGGGCAGCATGACCGCCCACAATGCGGCCTTCTGCATCTGAAGCCTGGGGCCGGCCGCACCCTAAGATAGAGAAGGCGGGTTTTCAGTGGGGGATCCCTAAAGGCTGCTTCCTCCAGGAAGCCTTCCTTGACCACCCTGTCTGCTGGAGCTGCCCCAGAGCATCATGGGTGAGGAGAAAGGATCCCAGAGCCCTAAGCACACCACACTACATGAAATGTAACCAGAGTGCCTCGGGCCGGGGTGGGTCCAGGTTGGGGGCCGGACACCCGCACAGTGAACTTGGAGCATCTTGGTGTGCCAGAAAGTAAGGGGCAGTAAGAAGGGGCTCAGGGGATGATGGGGCCCGTTCAAAAGACCCAGGAGGCGGGGGGATGGGCGGGAGTGCTTAATGGGGAGGGGGCTCCTTGGAGGTGATGGGAACGTCCTAGGACCGGAGAGGAGGTTGCACAACACTGTGCGTGTGCTAAATGCTGCTGAGTTGTTCACTTGAAAATGGGTAATTTTATCTTACGTGAATTTCACCTCACTAGATTAAAAAAATTTAAGACAGAAGAGCCAACTGGGAGGGGCTCCTACTGGCCAAATCTGGGATGGATTATTTTGAGCTTCAAAGTAATGATAAGAATAGATTATAATCCATAGAAATGAATAAAATGGGGATTTGTGAGTCCACACTGATGTAAATGTTAGATGATTGACAGATACAGATAAATAGATGAGAGGTAGGTGATAGGCGATAGACAATGGATGGCTGGATGGCTGGATGGATAACCCATGGGGAGGGCAGCCCCTCCAGTTCACGTGGAGGGAACAGAAAGATGCACTAAGAAAGGCGCCAAGGGCAGATCAACAGTAATTGATTCAGACAAGAGTCATCGACGGACAGTGAAGTTCAGAGGAGAAAGATCGGGGTGTAGCAGGGTCTCTTCCTAGCCTCCGTTAACTGCAAAGGGGAGGAAAGTCACTTTGCCGGGGGGACCCTGGCCAACACCCCTTCACCAAGAGGTCCAGGCAGAAACCGTCTGTGCTAACACGCTTTGCCACCCTGGACCCCAGGAAGGGCCCTATCACCTCTGAGGTTTTCCTCCCAGCTGAAGCCCTGCAGGAGGCGATCCCAGACGCCAGCCCCCCCACACACACACACCTGTTGGGGACGTCTCTGGGTGCAGAGCCCCGCAGGAGACACCTAGAGAAGGAGGCAGAGGAGCAGGCTGAGGGATGAGAGAGGAAAGGGGCTCAGCAGTGGGAGGTGGGGGGCCTGCTCTGACTGCCCTCCCATGGCCCCGGGGAGGGGCTTCCAGGTCTACAGGCCAGTGCAATGCCCACCAGCCCTCCAGGGGACCCTGGGATGGATCCCCTTATCCTGAGCCACTGGAGCCAGGGTTCCAGCCAGGTGGGTGGGGCCTGGCCAGGTGGGGCTAGGTCAGCCAGTTGTTCCAGGCTAGGCCGGGTGGGACCAGAAAAGGGCTGTAAATGACAGCTGGGAGGCGCTGAGCGCTGCCTCAGGCCTGGGCCTTGCCAGGTCCCCACCCCTCCAGGTCCCACTCAGAGGAGACACTCACCTGGGGTCCATGGTGCCCGGCTGCCAGTGCCATCCACCCCGCCACCTCCACTGCCGTCCCCACCTCTGGGCCAGGCACTGATGACCTGGCCACCCAGTGGAGGGGAGCAGGCTGAGCGGAGGGCACACAAGGGCCCCACGAGGAGCAGGCTGGACAGATTTCACCCTCTCTCGGCCCAGCCCCCAGCCTCACCCCAGTCTCCCCAGGGCTCACAGCCCCCTGGGCCTGGGGATGGCTATCTAGCTGAGAAGCTCCAGCTCCAGGATTGACAGGAAATGACGTGACTCCCGGGAGGCCCCGGGGGTGCAGGTGCCCCCTCCTTTCCCCACCCGCAAAGCCAGCCAGATCACCCACCGGTCATGGCCAGGAGTAGCAGGAGGCCGCCAGGCCCCAGGGCCATGGTGTCTCTGCACTGCAGGGAGCAGGAGGGCCCACTCTGAGCCTCGACGTGCTGGGTGTGGGGTGGGGCAGGGACGGCCCATGTACCTGCTGTTGGGGCAGGGAGGGAGGGTGGAGGAGGAGCTGAGGGCCAGGCTCCACGGGTGGCCCCACCTGTGCCTTCCGCACATCCCAGAGTTAGGGGTCGCCTCCATTTGTCCCATGTGGAAGATGTCACCCGGCAGAGAGTGGCCGGCTCAGGGGCGCACAACCAGAACAAGGCAAGGCCAGCTCGGACCCCAGGTGTCCTGGCTGCAAGCCCAAGAATTTTCTGCTCACCCAGGCAAGGGTGGGGGTCAGTGATGCCCGCTCCAGTAAGCCCTCCCTGGTTCCCGTGGGGCATATTGTCTCCTCTCCTTTGTCTTCTGGAAGCCTGGTCCTGGGGGTTCTCTAGGAGGGTCCCAGCTCAAGGCCCAGATGGATGCAGAAAGAGACAGCTCAGGCCCCCGTGACTGGAGTCCCTCTGCCAACCCACCCTCCCCAGTGTCCCTGTCCCCACCCCCGTCCCCGGGTCCCGTGGTCTCCACCACAGATCAGCTGGGCACAGCTGCCCTAACCGTCCTCTGGCCAGGAACTGATGACCGAGCTGATTAGGGGGCCCTGGGGCGAGCTGGGACTTCCCCACCCGCTCCCCCCCAGCTCCCTGCCTGGCTCCCAATCACAGGCCAGGTTGTGGGTCCCTCTGAGATGCCTTCTTAGATGTGGGAAACTGAGGCACGGGTCGGGGGAGTTGCCTGATGATCCACCAGGATGTGGCTTCTCGGGGCACGGACTTGTCTCCTTCCTGCTAGCACCTGGCCCGGAGCTGTGGCTCAAAAGCGCGTGTACCACATTTGACCAGATGACGAATGATATGGATAGTGGCATCACTCTCCGGGGGGAACAGGGTTGGAGCCCACGGGTCTCCTGCCCAGGCCGCCCCTCCCAGGGCCCAGAAGACCTGATGTCGTGCAGTGCAGGGGGCGGGGCAGGTCTGGATGACCGCAGGTCCTCTGCTTCCTGGACCCCCCAGTGCCAGCCCGGGTCCCCACAGGAGGGCACTTCAGGGCCCTCACCTGTCCTGGCTCAATTCTCCTCCAGCATTGGGGACCCCTCTGCTCCCCTGCACCCCATCACGCAGCTCTCTGCAGAGATCTCGATGTCCCCGGGATTCCAGGCCTGCTGTCGAAAAAGAAACCCCAAACACCATCTGCGTGGTCTCCTCGGCGACTCTGTGACATGGTGCCGTTTCTGTCCCATTTGGCAGGAGAGCAAAGTGAGGCAGAGGGAGGGGCGTCCTGCCCCAGAATGCCTCCCTCCCTGTCCTGGGACGGCCCTCCCGGCCTGGGGGTCTCGTGCAGCCCAGCAGAAATGGGTCATGTGGGTCTGCACGGCGGCCCCCTCGGGAGGACCCCTGCTGCCACAGAGGGAGGGCTGGACCCTCCCAGTCCATCCAGCCCAGCCTGGCCCGGCCTGGCCTGGCGGAATGGCAGCATGGCGCTCTCTAATAAAGCCAGCGCTCTTTCCTCTCTCACCTGCCACTTGCGGAGCTGGGCCGAGTTCCTGGGGATCTGGGGCCAGATAAAGGAAGCCAGGGTCTGAGGCCCCCGTCAGCCCCAGGCCCCTCCTCTCCCCCTTTCCTCTTCCACTCCTTCCTGAGGAGCCCTGTGGCTTCCCTTCGGGACCCCAGCCCTCAGTCTCCCCGGCACAGCCTGCACCTCAGAGAATCTGAGTGTGCTTCTGTGAGGCCAGCGGTGGCCAGAGCTCACCCCCACCGCGCAAGGGGCGACCCCAAGTGGGGGGGGGGGCGGGGGGACGTCGGGGGGTTCCGGCTTCATCTCTTTCACGTTCTTAGGACAGGTGTGTATGACGGCTGTGATCACAATAAATTTAAGACAAAAGGAAAATGAAGAGGTTTAGCACCTCCCCCATCAAGGTCTTCACATCAGAGTGAGGGCGCCCAGGCCCCGGGGCCACCCTGTCTCCCCCCGTCTGCAGGTGGCAGGGACAGAAGTCAGGTGGAGCTGGAAGGGGCCTGGTAGGTTGTTTCAGAATCTCCCCTGATAAGGTCAGAGGTCATTTCTAGAGACTTTACAGATTAAATGTGTATGTTTGCATCTGAGAGTCAGAAGGAGAGAAGTGAATATTGATTTAGAAAGTTCTTTACAGCCTAAGAAGCTCCAGAATACACCCCAAAGACAGCGTTAATTTAGCTGCACTTTGTTCGTGTCCACAATGCTGTCCACACAGCAGAGCGAACGGCAGGGAGGGCACTTGCAAAGACAGAGGTTACGTCTTATTTTATGGAAGGACTCAAAACTGCATGACCGAATCCGAGACTCAAGCTACTCAACCAACAGAGGACAGAGCAGGCTGCTCCAGAGAACGAGGTTCCCAGGCCGCCTGGCGGGACAGCGGACAGGCGTGCGGCTGAGCGGGAGCAGGGATGGCAGCCTCGAGGCGGGGTCCGCATGGCAGGGTGCCCACAGCCGGGCGAACCCACGGTTACAGAGACGGCACCACCGCCAGAGCCTGGGAGCTGCCGCGCCTGGAAATCCGTGCTACCGAAACCATCTGAAATGCAGGACGGCTCAACCAGAAAGTGACTGGCTTGTTGACATGAGCAATGACAGGGGGGCACCTCTGGGTCCCAGTGGAAAATGTTTCGAGGGTCCCTACTAGAACATCCACCGGGGGTGGATTGTCTGAGGAGGGGCCCTCGGGGGCGCCGTCCCTGTGTCACAAGAGGACAGCTGTCCCCTCTCCACTGCCAAGGGCTAGGGCTCCAATGGTGAAAGGGGTCCCCTCACCAAAAATCATAAAAATGCAAATTAAATACTTAATGAGACACCACCCCACACACCAGGATGGCAGATTGGGGGAGTGAGTAATGTGAGCAGCTCCCCATTGCTGGGGTGGAGGTGACACACATATGACATTGTCTAGAAAGCGGAGGATGCACAGACCCCAGCCCTCAGCAGCCCCCTCGCTGGCTCACGCGCAGACATTTGGGGTGTGCACACAGGCACGGCCACCACCACCTAGTCCTGACCCCGACGGGGACAACAAGTTCCCTGTTGTCCGTCCAGCCTGGATGACAGGCACCTCTGGGGGGTCCAAGTGGAGGTGAGAAATGATGAGCTCGGCTACAGGCGGCATCGCGGGAGACCGTCACAGACACGCGTTCAGTGAGGGGTGAGGCTCAAAGAATGTTACCATTGATTACAGGCACACAAACATGAAAACTGGGCAAAAGAGCCATCCTGCATGTGACCGTGCACAGTGTGGGCTGCAGGGAAAGGCCAGGAGGTGATGGTGTGGAGGGGGAGGGTCGGGGAGTGTGGGGGCCGTGCTCTGCATCCTGACCCCCTTGCTGGGCGCCTGGGTGCCCCGAGAATCATGTTTTGTTTTGTTTCGTTTTGTTTTGTTTTGTTTTGTTTTGTGAGGAAGACTAGCCCTGAGCTAACATCTGTGCCAATCCTTCTCTTTTTACTGAGGAAGATCGGCCCTGGGCTAACATCCGTGCCCATCTTCCTCTGCTTTATGTGGGATACCGCCACAGCATGGCCTGACACGGGGTGCAACGGTGTGCGCCCGGGATCCAAACCTGCAGATCCCAGGCCGCCAAAGCAGAACATGCACACTTAACCACTACGCCACCAGGCCGGCCCCCAAGAATCATCCTTTAAATGATCCGTGTCTCTCTACGTGTCCCGAGGGCACGGTGCTGCTCCCCAAAAGGAGACACGAGCCAGTGTGCTGAGAAGTCGGCCCCGGGCACAAGGGGCTCAGGAGGGGCCGTCCCCACAGCGACGCCCACTGCTCGGGGGCCGGGACGCACAGGGACAGCAGCTGCACTTGGCCGTGCCCTGGACCCCCTTCCTCTCCCTCAGCGACACCCACAGCCAGAAACAGCCACAGCCACATCTGCTTTCCGTGCTCTTTAATCTGGACCAGCGCCCACCACCTGCTCCCTGGGCCAGGCAGGGAGGGGGCTCCAGGCAGGGGGCCGGGAAGGTGGGGGAAGGACGCCACCTGGGCAAGAAGCAGTGGTGCGGAGACAGGAGGGAGCTGGCTTCTCCGCCAACCCAGGTGGCAGCCCCGGGACCCAGGTGGGCGGCACCGGGTCTGATGGGCTCCCAGCCCCGCGCTCGGCACATCCTCCCTCCCGCCACCTCGCCCTTCCAGAGTCTCCAAACTCCCACTCCCTGAGCCAGCCCGGCGGGGCCCTGTCCCCAAAGGGAACCCCAGAGGCTGGGCCGTGGGTGTGACTGGGTCCTCCCGCCCAGCCCTCCAGCTGTCCCTGATGCTCACCTCCATTGTCCACATCGCCCCAGCCTGTCACCCAGCACAGCGTCCCTGTGGGGAAGGTCTCAGAGGCGGAGGGCAGAGTGACCAGCTGGACGTGGCTGCAGATGTTCACGGGGTCCTGGAGCTCCAGCAGGGCGATGCCGGCCCCGTTCTCAACCGTGTAGTAGTCGGGGCGGGGAGGACCCTGCTGGCGGGCAGCAGCTGGTCTCCGTGACAGAGGTGCTGCTGGCGCAGCTGCACCCTGATGTCTGCGGGGTCTTCGACGTCCCTGGGAGAGGGGGCGCCCCTCAGGGGCCTGAGCAGCCTCCTGGACCCTCCGGGGCGTGGGGGGAGCCCCAGGCCACCCCACTCCGCCAGGCCCCAGCAGACTCACGGTCCCACGCAGTGTGTGGCGGTCAGCACCCACTGTGGGTGGATGAGGGAGCCCCCGCAGAAGTGCCTCCAGTAGTGGGTGTGGAGTCTCAGGCTCACCTGCCAGGGCCACTTGCTCCCAGGGGCCTCCTGTCTCCCCACAATGCCCGCTCGCTCCAGACCGAGGCCTGGGGCTGGGGCAGGAAGCGCCCTCAGGACAGGACACAGCCCGGCCCCTGGGCTCAGCCGTTCCCTGGCCCGCACAGCCCTGGGTTTCTCTGAACCCACCCGTCCCTGGGCCAGTGGGGTGAGGGGCCAGGGGTCGGGACTCACCGGGGCCTGCATGTACCAGGCTCCCCAGGAGGGGCAGCGCCAGCACCAGCAGCTTTGGCATCTGGAAGGAGCAAGTAGGGGCAGCGTGAGCCTGGTTGGGGCTGGGCCCGGCTGAAGGGCTGCAGGGTGTGGGGTACAGCTGTAGTTGGGGCCCCCGAGGATCAGGGTTGGTCCGGGCCTCGGTCCTGAGGCTCGGCTACTGTGCTACACAGTGACATCCCATGTCGGAGTCTCGGTGGGGGGCCTTACCTTGGCTGGTCCCTGCTGCTGTCGACCCAGCCCGCTCTCCCCTCCCCATTTATCCTTCCAGACCAGGAGGGGGTCAGAGGAGGGGCACTCCTCCTATCTGAGAGAAGGAAGTGATGATTCAGACAGAGGCCCCCATGTGACCTGTACCCCCACCGCCCAGATGCCCGTCTGGGTGCTGATGGCCCCAAGGGTGGGCCGTGCAGCCAAGCAGAAGATAAGCCACCCCCCACCCCAAGGTGGGTCCTGGCTCCTGGGCTCTGGGGGCTGAGACGCTAATCCAGGGGGCTGGGGTGGGGGTGAGAGGGGCTCCAGTCTCCATTCCGTGCGCTTGAGTCCCCTCAGTGTGCTGGGGCTCCCAGGTCCCCCCGTGTACTGGGCACTGGGCATCTGAGCATCCCTCCCTCCATTGGCCAGCTGATCTCTGGCACTGAGATGGCATCTTCCAGCTGCGGATATCGGGCTCCTCTCCTCTGCCCAGGTGCAGCGAGGACACCCCCAGAGGCCTTCAGGCACAGCTGCACCCAGGGGCGGTTGTGCTGTCCCGACTCTATCTGACCAGTCGTTCCCACCCCAACCTGCCAAGAGGAGCCCATGTCCGTGATCCCCCCTCAGAGAAGCAGGGAGATGCCCATGGGACAGTGACACTTAGCAGTGTCACCCCTCTCACATCTCTGCATCCATGGGGGGGTGGGGCAACCCTCCCCACCTCACTTCTAGGGAGGGTCTGACATGAGGCCTTCTTGTCAGATGAGGAAACAGCTTTGGGAGGTAACAGCACCAAGTGTCCTGGGCCAGGAAGGGGCCCTGCTGCGCCTGCCCGGATGGCAGATCCAATTCCTCAGGGGGCAGGGGGGTCCAACAACGTCCATCTCTGGGTCCTCTCTGAGCTGTTCCGCTGATGGCAGCAGTACCCTGTTATCTCGGGGATCTGAGCGCCATCAGCAGAGGGACAGGCAGAAGGAAGTGGCGGTGAGATAACAGAAGACGCCACGGCCAGCTCTCCTTGGACACCCCCCACCAGGCCCCACCACCCCGTCCCCCATCCTCCATGGCCAGGGCTGACCACTGTCCCTGCCTGTCTGACCACCCACGTCCTCACTCTCCCCGGGCCTGCTGGTCACCTGGGGCCTGCAGGACACCCACCCCCCTCCTCGGTCTCTTGGACACCCTGAACCCCCTACTGCCGTCTGGGGGCCCCTCCTGTGCCCTAGGGAGGCCTTCTCTGCCCCCACGCTGCCCAACACCAGCCTGGCTCAGGGCCGCCTGCCCCTGGCTGGCTCCAGAGGCGTCTGTCCCAGGCGACTCAGTGCTCGATCAGGCTTCTCTCCAGATGGCTGGTTAGTAGTTTGCCTGTGACCTCAGTTCTCAGATGGGGTCAAGAGAATGTATTGATTTGCAGTTTGTCCAGAGGTGTGACCGACGCCCTTTGCAACCCTCTAGGTCTCTGAGCCAACCCAGGTTTTGTACATGACGTAATGTCAGGCTCAGGCTCTGCTTTGTCTGTAGAGCAATCTTGTTGGTTCACAACATTGCTTGAAAAACCATCCTTTACCTTCTGAATTACTGTGTTATCTTTCTCAAAAATCCACTGGCCTCGCGTCCATCTGTTTCTGGACTCTCTCCAGTTAACTGATCTGTATTTCTCTACGTAACTGTAGCACGCTATCTCAATTAGTTTGCTAAGAATTTCTGTTCATCACAAATAGGTGTTGAATTTTGTAAAATTCTTTTTCTGCACCTAAGGACATGGTAATAGTTTTCTTTTTCGTGTTTTGACATGGTGAATTATGTTGACTGATCTTCATACCTTAAACCGACCTTGCATTCCTGGGATGAATTTTACTTGGCCATGATGAGTCATTTTGGGCAATTCAATTTGCTACAATTATATTAAAGACTTTGGTGACTCTTTACAGGAGGGATACTGGTCTGATTTATAGTTTTCTTTTCTTATAATGCCTTTGTCTGGTTTTTCTTATCAAAACTTCTCTTGGTCATGATGCATTATCTCCCTGACATATCTTTGGATTTGGTTTGCTAATATTTTGTTGAGAATTCTTGCATTGATGTTGACAAGGGGTATTGGTCTGTAGTTTCCTTTCTATATGATGTCTTTGTCTAATCCTGACCTTATAAAATGAGTTGGGAAGTGTTCCCTCCTCTTCTATTTTCTGGAATAGATTGTGTAGATGTGGCATTATTTCATCCTTAAATGTTTGGTAGATTTACCAGTGAAATCATCTGGGTCTGAAGCTTTGTTTGGAAGGTTTTTGACTACAAATTTAAGTTTTAAAATAGACAAAGGACTATTGAGTTGATCTATTTCTTCTTAAGTGTTTTTTGGTAGTCTGTATCTTGCAAGGAATTAGTTCAATTCATCTAAGCAGTCAAATTTATGGGTATGGAACTGTTCATAATATTTCACATATATATATATTTTAATTTTTTTCCCCCCAAAGCTCCAGTAGATAGTTGTGTGTCATAGTTGCACATCCTTCCAGTTGCTGTATGTGGGACGTGGCCTCAGACAAGCCGTGTGTTGGTGCGTGCCCAGGATCTGAACCCGGGCCACCAGTAGCAGAGCGCGAGCACCCAACTGCTAAGCCACGGGGCCGGCCCTGTTCATATTTCCTTATTGTGTTTACTGTGCTACTGTAGTGATAGCCCCTCCTTCACTCCTGATATTGGTGGTTTGCACCTTCTCTCTGTTTTTCCGGGACAGGCCAGCTAAATGTTAATCAATCCTGTTGATCTTTTCAAAGAGCCAGGTTTCGATTTCCTTGCTTTTGTCTGTTGTTTTTCTGCTCGAGCTGTCTTGCCCTGTAGCATCATCTCCTCTTACCTTTCAGGCTGGTTTATTGCCCTGCAGCCTTGGTTCTCTGAGGCTTCGAGAAAATTTGTGAACTTGCAGTTTGTCTGTTTTTGTAATGGTGAGAGTGATGCTCGTTACAGTTTTTACCACCCGGGAAGAAATGAGAACACAAATTCATTTCCTGTGTGCTCAGTTCCCTCCAGTCTGGTCTTGAAAGGCGAGCTCCTGTCACATCAGGAGTCTGAATTCTCCTATCTGTCCACATTCGCTGCTTCTCCCTGCAGTGTCCTCTCACCCACAGTGCCCTGCACCTGGTGACGTGCTCACCTACGGATGTGGGTGCACAGTCAGGTGCGGGAAGGTGAGGGCCTCCAGGCCTGCCCCCAGCTGGGATGTGGCTCTGCAGTCCTCTGGCAGGAGCCCAGGGGCCTGGTGGGGGGCGCTAGGAGGGCAGGAAACAGCCCAGAGCAGCTGCAGGTATTTCCGGGGGAGCTGGGCCAGTACCCCCACTGCTGGGAGGCTTTCAATGGTGACGACAGAGCAGGCAGAGGAAAAGCCCAGGTCAGAGGGGCCGACCTTGCCCTCTCCAGCTTCCTCCTGCCCTCTGCCAGCCCAGCCCTGTGGCATCACAGACCCCAGCCCAAACCCAGGCCCCAAACATGGCCCTCGATAGATCTGACCACGAGGACCCTTGCACCCAGATAGATGAGAGAAGAACGGTGACCAGGAGGCATGGGAGAAAGACAGCCTGAGGCTCTTGGGAATGAGGCCCATTGGTCTCTAATGAGAGCTGGAGGCAAAGGGTCCCTGCAGACAGGACCCTCATGTCATCGGGACAGAGAGCAGGGAGGGCCAGGATTCATCAGGCGAGGTTGGTGCTGAGCACCCCAGGGGGTCACCCACCCTGAGCGAGCCCTTGTGGCCATTCTGTGGCCTGGAGGAGGCTGCTGGTGTTGCCCTGGCGGATCCCAGGGTCACTCAGGAGAGACTGAATATCTGCAGGATGCAGGCTGGGGGAGGGGTATGGGGAGGGGGTGGGCCAGACAGCACCAGCCCCTCTCCGCGGGTGCCCCAGACCTCTCCCACCCAGGATGGGCAGAGGGGGCCTCCAGGAGGAAGCTCCTAACTGGAGCAAGATTTGGGGAAGCGACTTCATCTCTTTGTGGGTGTTTCTACATCTGGGCACCTCAGGCCTTGGGAGGGGCAGCAGGGCAGGGCAGGGGCCCCTACCCTGGGCTTTCCCCTTATCTAGCCTACAGCCCCAGGAAACTGGACCCAGCTTGACCCAGGACGGTTTACAGATAACAACGAACATTGGCTCTAATCAGGGTGGGTCAAGGCTGCGGGGCCAGGCTGAGCCAGAAGGGGGTGGGCAGAAGGTCAGCCCCTCTCTGTGGCCAGCCTGGGGATGGGCAGATCCTGCATCCTCCCGAGGGGATGGTGCCCAGGTGGTCAGGCCACTGCAGACAGACATGGCCCTCCACTCCTGGCCCCCAGGGTCCTGGGCGACAGAAGACTCCCCTCCAAGCCAGGAGGGTGTTGCCAGAGCCAGGCGAGGGACACCCTTCCCTCTGCCTCAGCTTGCTTTCCTGTCAAATGGGGACAGAAACGGCACCGTGTCATGGCGCCATCAAGGGGACTGCACGGACGGTGCCGAGGCTGGCTTCACTGGCTTGCGAGCTGTGCCACCACATAGCCCCAAGCTCAGAAGGGCCTCCTGCCTGGCTCACTGCTCTGCTGTCACCATTCTGAAATTTGTAATCATTTTTGAACAAGGGGCCTTGCATTTTCAGTTTGCACTGGGTCCCCCAAATTATGGAGCCAGTCCTGGGTGCATATGTGGTGCTTCTTTGTGGACAGCAAGCCTGGAATGCAGTGGGCATGAGGACTTGGAAGGAGCTGTGGTGTGCTCGTTTCCTCCAGCCACTGTCAGAAGTGATCACAAACTCTGTGGTTTAGATGACACACGTTAGTCATCTTATGGTCCAGTAGGTCAGCTATCTGACGTGGGTCTCAGGGACTAAAATCAAGGTGTCAGCAGGGCCGCGTTCTGTCTGGGGGCTGCAGGGGACAATCTGTTTCCTGGCCTTTTCCAGCTTCCAGAGGCCTCCGCATTTCTCTGCTCCCCCGTCCTCAGACACGCTGCATCTCTTGGGCCCGCCTCTACCATCGCGGCACCTCCTCACCACAGCTGGGGCAGCGTCTGTGACTCCAAGGACTCGAGTGGGGACATTGGGCCCACCTGGGTAATCCAGGCTCCTCTCCACCTCAGGCTGTCCCTTAATCTCATCTGCAGCCCCTTTACCCCATGAGCGCGTGTAATCACAGGTGCTGGGGGCTAGGACTGGGCATCTGGGAGGGGCCCGCCTTCTGCTTCCCACATGCGTGCTGGGGTGCAGCTGGGGAGAGGGGTCTCCCACGCTGGAGGATAATTGAGCTGGGACAGGTGAGGGCCCTGAAGTCCCCTCCTGTGGGGACCCGGGGTGGCACTGGGGGTCCAGGAGACAGAGGACCTGGGTTCGTCCAGACCTGCCTCCACCCCCCACAGTTGGCGACATCAGGCCTCCTGGGCCCTGGGAGGGGTGGCCTGGGCCCAGGACTCGTGGGCTCCAACCCTGTTCCCCCTGGAGAGTGGTGCCACTATCAATTTTATTGGTCACCTGGTCAAATGTGGGACACGCACCTTTGAGCCGCGGCTCCAGGCCAGGTACCAGTGGGAAGGAGACAAGTCCATGCTCTGAGAAGCCACATCCTGGTGGATCATCAGGCAACTCCCCCCACCTGTGCCTCAGTTTCCCACATCTAAGGGGATCTCAGAGGGCCCACAACCTGGCCTGTGATTGGGAGCCAGGGAGGGAGCTGGGGATGGGCAGGCAAGTCCCAGCCCCTCTCAGGGCCCCCTAATCAGCTCAGTCATCAGGCCCTGGCCAGAGGACGGTTAGGGCAGCTAAGCCCGGCTGATCTGTGGTGGAGACCACGGGACCCGGGGACGGGGGTGGGGACAGGGACACTGGGGAGGGTGGGTTGGCAGGGGACTCCAGTCACGGGGCCTGAGCTGTCTCCTCCTGGTTCAGTCTGGGCCTCTATTACTTTTTTGTTTTTAAATATACTTTTTATTTTAGAACAGGTTTAGATTTACAGAAAAATTGTAAAGACATTGTAGACACCACCCCCCCCACCCCGCGCCCTGCACCCACTCACCTGCTGATGGACTTCTGGCTGTCTCCTGTTTGGGGTGTTAAGCATAAACATTACTGTCATTGCTGCAAACATTACTGTCCGGGTCTCTTTGTGGAGGTCTCCGTCTCTCTCTCAGTATTTCTTCACACAAGATTATTCCCGAGCCCTCTGCACTCTCCCTGCTCCCGTCGCTCCTGCAGGGGCCCAGCTCCTCTCCACGGCGAGCGGTATTCAGAAGCCCGATCCAAGTGGTCGGTGTTGCTGATCGCTCTGGGATGCCACCTGCACAGAGCTAGGGAGGGCATGTGTGCTTGCACATACATGAGTGCACACACGTGCACACACATTGTGTCCATAGTTCCATATCTATACTGAAACCATGGACCCCACCCCAGTCCCACAGCACAGGGTTTATTCCAGTTTCCTCTCTCTCCATACTGGCCTGCCCTCTCTGGCATGTGAAGCCTGGTTCCCATCCCTAATTCACTGATTTACTGATCAATCCCTGTCCCCCAACCCCGAACCGTGTGTAACAATCTCCCATCTCCATTCCCCCTCCCCTGAGCACATGTCTCCCCTCACTCCCGCGATGCCCTGTCTCTTTTCTCGGACTCTGACTCCCACTGGGACTGGCTGGTGGGGCTCCTGGCGCCACGTTCTGGAGGAAAGGGAGGGAGATGAAGGGGGCGGTGGGCAGAGCCTGAAACATTCCGCCCCCTCGGTGGGTGTGCAGGGGTGTCTCCGCTTAATCTGCACTTTCCTACCGAGGCGGCGGGATGAGCACCTTCTCATGCTTCCTGGTCACTCGCACAGCTTCTCCCATGGAGTCTCTGCTGTTGCCCACTTTTTATTTAGGTGGGGCGTCTTCTCACTGAGTTGTAAGACTTGCTTTCCTTTCTTTTCTTTCCGTCCCCTCCCTCCCTCCCTTTCTTTCTTATTTGGACACAAGTCCTTTACCAGATACATACGTTGCACCTTGTTCTCCCAGTCAGTGGACCGTACGTTTGTTTTCTTAATAGTGTCCCTCAGAGTGTAAGAGTTAAATTTTGATAAAGTCACATTTTCCAATTTTTTCTTTTTTGGTTGGTGCTTTTTGAGTCCCCTCTGCCTCCCTCCAGGTGTGAAGATTTTCTGCTGTGCCTTCTCCTGGGTGTTCTATAGTTCTCAAGTCTACATTTAGGTCTACGACCCCTTTTGAATTAATTTGTGTGTGTTATGAAGCAGGTGTCAAGGCTCATGGTTTTCCCATATGGATGACAATGGTTGCAGAGGCATGTGGAAAGAAGGTCATCCTTTCCCTCTCCTGAAAATAACTGATCATTTGTGTGTGGTCTATTTTTGGACTGCTGTTTCATTGATCTCTACATCATCCTACACTAATACCACACACTCTGCATTACTGCAGCTTCTTATCAAGTCACCACAGTCCCACCGCGTGATCCACACTGTGTGTCAGTGCCTGGGGTCACCGTGTGTGGGTTTGTATCTGGGTGACCCTCACACTGCAGGGTTGGTGCCTCCACTTCCCTGCAGCCCCTGTAGGAGGTGGAAGTCTGCACTGTGGACGCAGAGACTGCAGCCAGGACTGCATCAGCCCTGGGAGCGGCCTGAATTGGCCTGAGATGCTGTGTGCTGGGTCTCCAGGGATACCTGCCAGGTGAGCCCAAGCAGGCGAGGCGGAGGATGGAATTACCCCCTGGAATCTTGGTTCTCACCCCACTCTGCCCCCAGGATGACTCCGGAGGGCCTCTGGTCTGCCAGGTGGATGGCACCTGGCTGCAGGCTGGCGTAGTGACCTGGGGTGAGGGCTGAGGCTGCCCTGACTGGCCCCGGGTCTACACCTGCATCCCTGCCTTTGCTCAGAGCCTAGGTTGGCTCTCCCTCCCTCCTGACCTCTGACCCTTGACCCGTGACCCGCTCACTCCTCCTGGCAGGGCACCGAGGGCACCAGCCACATGCTGGTCCTGGAGGAATTGCCCTGCAGCAGCCCTGCCCTGCCCAGCTCAGTGTCTTCTCCCCGCGGAGAAACTGAGGCTGGGGAGTGCAATCACCTGCCAAGGTCGCACGCAGGAGGGTCTGGAGACCCCAGCGCTGGACGTCCACGTCATGTGCGCCCACACCCACCCCCGTAGAGCCCGGCCCACTCCTCTGAGGTCCTAGCCCAGGGCCGACGCCTCAGTCAGACCCCGGCTCTGTGACCCTGATCCCGCGGGCAGGCAAGGGGTGGGCGGGCAGTCAGCTCCTCCCCTCCCCTCACCTGCCCAGCCCCCCCCTGCTGGGGCTGAGGGGCCTGAGCTTTGCATTACCAAGCACTCCCTCTGGTGGACTTGCCGGGAACTGCGGGATTCTGGAGGGAGCGGGGCGGGCGGCAGAAATAACCTGGCTTTATTGGTGAGGGACAAGATTACGTGCACAGAAAAGCCAAAGCATTCAACAAACACCGGGATAAGTGCATTTCGCGAGGCTGTGAGATACAATATCAATATGCAAAAATACTGTATTTCTAAATACAGCCATCAATAATAGGAAAATAAATATAATACCATTTGCTATAGATTTAAAAAAAAAATCAAACACAAGCGATAAATTTAATGAAAGGTGTGCAAAGCCTCTACACCAAAAAGTACAAAACATGGCTGAGAGAAATTTAAAAATCCCTAAAGAGGAAGAGCTGTGTCATGTTGCTGGATCGTTAGAATATCGATTCTCCCCATGTTGAATTAGAGACTCATGCAATCCACTCGACAGCCCAGCAGCCTCACTTTTCTGCATAAATTGACAATCTGATTCTAAAGTTAATACAAAAATGTGAAGGACCTAGGATAGCCAAGACAATCCAGAGGGAAAAGAATGATGACGGTGCACTCATCCTTCCCGATTTCAAGACTTACTACAGAGCTGGAATACTTAAGGCAGGGCAGTACCGAGGAAGGATGTAGAAATCGATAAAAGGAATGGAACAGAGTTTAGAAATAGATCCAAAATTACAGAATCACTTGATTTGTGAGAAGGATGTCACCGACATTGGATGGGTAACGGGTGGACTTTTCAATAAACGGTGATGGACTGGTAAGTGTATGGGGGAAACTTACATTCTACACAAAAATCAACTCGAGAAGGATTTATGTGAAATGTGGGTATTGACACTATTCAGCTTCTAGAACAGACCAGGAGAATATCTTCATTGCAGGGGAATACTTCTTGTCAACAAAAAGAGAATGAACTACAAATGCACACACACCTGGATGAATCTCAAAATTGTTACACGGAGCAAAAGAAGCCAGAAGCAACACGTGTGAGCCCTTCTGTGAGGTTCTAGAACTGGCAAAACTAACCTACGGTGCTAGAAATCACAATGGTGGCTACCTCTGGGGTGGGGAGGGGGTTCTTTACTAGAAGGAGACATTCTGGCTGATGAAAATGTTATATATTTTGTTTTGGATGGTGGTTACACAGGTTTTACAATCATCAAAACTCATTGAACTGGAATATATATACTTCCAGTTTCTGCTCTGACAAATAAAGAGCTGGGAATTCATTACTTCCATCCTCATAACAAGAAAATGAAGAACAAACTGAAAGCCAAGTGAAGACCCATCAGAGAATTGAGTTCACAGGGCACACCACTGCCCCAGACTGGAGAGACAGATGAAGACAGAAGCCACCACTCCCTGTGAGGAGAAGCTGCAGCAGAGCCTGGTACAAACACTTACAGGGAAATTGCCTAATTACTGGAGACTCAGCATGGGGAACTTGAGGGCTAAAACCTCCTGGGACCCAGTCGGGGGGTGCTGCACTTTGATGAGTTTTTCCTTCAGGAGCTGCACCATACTCTCAGGGAGAAGATCCAAGAAAAACCCCTCATGCTTCAGGCAGGGGGAGGGGGAAATAACCAATTAGAAATACACCCAGAGCAGGGAAAACCACCTTAGCAGACCTCGGGGAAGGAAAAGTAGACACTCAGCCCCCACCAGCCTTCCTGTTGGCCCGGGGACTAAAGCCCACTAAGAAGCTGAGATTTGTTCATAGGATTATAGAAGACTTCTCTGCAGTCACAACACCTTCCTGCCACATCAACAAGGCCCCAGTATAATAACAGTGGGTTACAACTGGGAGAGGTACAGGACTCAGACTCTATTTAAGAAGGAGCTTCTAGGGAAACCAGACAACAGGAGAGACAAAACCAGGAAACCAGAGGAAATCGAAGCCTTGTAAACAGTAAACACAGCCCAGCTCCAGCCGGGAAAACATAAACTCTCACACTAAAGGCCTATTTACCTCAGTTCCTATTACCCAATATATACTTTATATCCAGTTTCCACCAAAAAATCACAACGCATGCTAGAAGGCAAGAAAAAACACCATCAGAAGAGACAAAGCAAGCAACAGAGCCAGACTCAGATTTGGCAGAGATTTGGATACTATCAACTGAGAATTTATTTTTATTTTTTATTTATTTTTATAATTTTATTTATTTATTTTTTCCCCCAAAGCCCCAGTAGATAGTTGTATGTCATAGCTGCACATCCTTCTAGTTGCTGCATGTGGGACGCCGTCTCAGCATGGCCGGAGAAGCGATGCGTCAGTGCGCACCCGGGATCGAACCGGGGCCGCCAGCAGTGGAGCGCACTTAACAGCTAAGCTACGGGGCCGGCCCCTCAACTGAGAATTTAAAATAACTATGATAGGGGCCGGCCCCGTGGCTTAGCGGTTGAGTGCGTGCGTTCCGCTGCTGGCGGCCCGGGTTCGGATCCCGGGCATGCACCGAGGCACTGCTTCTCCGGCCACACTGAGGCCGCGTCCCACATACGGCAACTGGAAGGATGTGCAGCTATGACATGCGGCTATCTACTGGGGCTTTGGGGGGAAAAAAATAAATATAAATAAAATCTTTAAAAAAATAAATAAATAAAATAACTATGATAATATGCTAAGAGCTTTAATGGAAAACATGGATACCATGCAAGTACAGATGGGTAATATAATCAGAGAGATAGAAACCCTAAGGAAGGATCAAAAGGAAATGCTAGAGATCAGAAACATTGTAACATAAATGAAGAACTTCTGGTCAATGTCTTACTGGAGTACTAGATAGTGCAATAAGACTGGAAAAGGAAATAAAAGGTGTGCAGATTTGGAAAGAAGAAATAAAATAGTCTCTGGTTGAAGATGCCATGATTGTCCATTTAGAAAAATCCCAAAGAATAGACAAAAAGCAAACAAACAGATTCCTGTAACTAATAAGATATTATAGCAAGGTTGCAGGACATAAGGTTTTTGTTAAAAAGTCAATTGTTATATTGTGCATATTGCTATATACCAGCAATGAAGGATTGGAATTTGAAATTAAAAACACAATACCATTTACATTAGCATTCCCAAAATGAAGTACTTAGGAATAATCTAACAAGGTATTTACAAATTCTATATGAAGAAAACAACACAACTCTGATGAAAGAACTCAAGGATCTAAATAAGTGGAGAGCTAGCTGATGTTCATGGATAGGAAGACAATGTTATTAAGATGTCATGTCTTCCCAACTTCGTCATAGATTCAATGCAATCCCAATCAAAATCCCAGCAATTTATTTCATGAATCTCAACAAATTGATTCTGAAGTTTATGTGGAAAGGCAGAAGACACAGAATAGCCAACATGATATTGAAGAAAAAGGACAAATTTGGAGGACTGACAATACTCATCTTCAAGACTTACTATAAAGCTATGATAATGTTGATGAAAGAATAGACAGATCAATGGAACAGAATAGAGAGCTGAGAAATAGACTCACACAAATAAAGTCAACTGATCTTTGACAAAGGA